ACTCCAGTATTCTTGCCTAAAGAATCCCAGGGACAGAGGAGCCTGGTGGGCTGCCGTCTATGGGGTCGCACAGAGTTGGACACAACTGAAGTGACTTAGCAGCAGCAGCAGCAGCAGCAGATATGCAGATGACACCACCCTTATGGCAGAAAGTGAAGAAGAACTAAAGAGCCTCTTGATGAAAGTGAAAGAGGAGAGTGAAAAAGTTGGCTTAAAGCTCAACATTCAGAAAACCAAGATCATGGTATCCAGTCCCATTACTTCATGGCAAATAGATGGGGAAACAGTGGCTGACTTTATATTTGGGGGCTCTAAAATCACTGCAGATGGTGAAATTAAAAGACTCTTACTCCTTGGAAGGAAAGTTATGACCAACCTAGATAGCATATTAAAAAGCGGAGACATTACTTTGTCCACAAAGGTCCATCTAGTCAAGGCTATGGTTCTTCCAGTGGTCATGTATGGATGTGAGAGTTGGACTTTGAAGAAAGCTGAGTGCCGAAGAATTGATGCTTTTGAACTGTGGTGTTGGAGAAGACTCTTGAGTGTCCCTTGGACTGCAAGGAGATCCAACCAGTCCATCCTAAAGGAGATCAGTCCTGGGTGTTCATTGGAAGGACTGATGCTGAAGCTGAAACTCCAACACTTTGGCCACCTGATATGAAGAGCTGACTCATTAGAAAAGACCCTGATGCTGGGAAAGATTGGGGGCAGGAGGAGAAGGGGACGACAGAGGATGAGATGGTTGGGTGGCATCACTGACTCAATGGACATGGGTTTGGGTGGACTCCGGGAGTTGGTGACGGACAGGGAGGCCTGGCGTGCTGCAGTCCATGGGGTCGCAAAGAGTCGGACATGACTGAGCCACTGAACTGAACTGAACTGAACTTATAAATGCTCATATACCGTTGTGTATCAGATTTACTCACAATTGGGAGAATTTTTGCATGTATGATACACACAGACCTCTCTCATAGATAACACTTCAGTTGGCTCTGAATGTCCATCAATATCTTCCTTTTGGTTTTGGTCAGAACTGAGTACACTGGCCAACGAACAGGTCAGATTCTCTATGTGGACCACGAATGAGTGAGCCGGTGAAAGTCACTAAGCCGTGCCTGACTCTTCGCAGCCCCACGGACTGTAGCCTTCAGGCTCCTCTGTCCGTGGAATCCTCCAAGCAGGAACACTGCAGAGGGTAGCCATTCCCTTCTCCAGGGGATCTTTCGGACAAGGGATTGAACCTGGGTCTCTTGCACTGCAGGCAGATTACTGACCATCTGAGCCCCCAGGGAAGTCCAGTATGTGGACCGTGAAGCACATACAAAAATATTTGTGCACATTTAGAGAATAAATTTAAACGTGGGCATGAATATTAAAGCATGGATTTTTTCCTCCAGTGTTTTAGATGGTTTCACATAAAATTCCACCTTTAGGATTTTAAAGTTGTAATTAATGTATGTACAGGGTTTACCTTTCCTAATTTGTACACATGGTACAATGTAAGGACAAATTTAGCACATATGCAGCCTGTCTTCTTCTCCATTTCTGTTCCTTTGCTTGAGCTGTTTGTTCCTTTTACATAGAACGCCCCCACATTTGAAAGTCAAGACCTATCTCTATCCAAGGGTGGGCAGCTTTGAGCCCAGTGAAAGAAGACTGGGTATGTGGCAAAGTGGAAAAATCTGAGGCTATGTATTTAGCTATGGTAAATTCATCAAATCCAAGTTCCTCAAATTTTCTCATGACTAAAATTCCTACCTTCTCTATGCTCCCATTGCCCTCTATGTAAAATGGGGATATGTATGTATATAATTTTAACTGTAGTATGGGTCAATTGGGCCAATATATTTAAAAGATCAAAATTTTCAGCTCCACTTCCTTTCCAATGCCGCCTTCTCCACAAGGCTCCTCTAGCTCCCACCACCTAGGCTGACCTAACCTCATCTTCCTTAAAATGCCCAGAACACTCCATTTCTCCCACATAGACTTCACTGACAATTTTCTGCATTGTGTTATACAATTTAACAAACATATATTGAATACCTACTCTGTGTCAGGCATATCTATTTTCTTTTCTCTTTTTCCCCCTAACTAATCCTTAAACTTCTTGAGGTTAGACTCTATACTATTCATATTCCACTCCTTCCACTGTCTAGATAGTCTGACACCTAGTGCTTGAATAAGAATGTATTTATTGTTTGTCATTTAGTAAAACTGGTCACTAATAATGCAAGAAATGTCTATATATCCATTCTCATATGTGTACACATCTTCATATAGAATGACATGGTGGAAATTATATGTAATGCCAGTGTATGGGATCATAACCATCTTCATCTTCATGATGAAATACTACCACCACCACTACTACTACTAGAATTATGAAGTGATAGCTAACATTCCTGAGACCATATACAAAGGGGCAAATTCTCTTCCCATTCCCACGTGGGTCTTTGTTGTAGTTCCTTCTAGAGCAAAACTAATTTCCCTAAAGAGAAGGTGAAACAATACATGGATTGCTATGTCTCTGTGGAATCACATTAGCAAAAACCTAAGCATGTTTTCAAAGAATGATAATTTATAAATAAAGACTATCTCACAAACACAGCACAGTGGCTAGATGAAACTCTAAAGTTTCAGGGGGAAACTACATAATTTCAAAATGAGGCTGTGTGTACGTAGCACCAAGCCATCCAAATGAAACCTGAGCAAATCACTGTGGAATGTGGTCTTTGCTGGCCCAGACATTTCAAGTCGTTATTGGAAATATGTAATGTGGTTCTGACACTCTTTTGCTACTCATGGATCAACTGCATTAGAGTGAAGTTTCACTTGAATTCTCTGCTCCTAATCGACCGCAGATTGGGAAACCAGAAAGCCAAATAGGTTAGAATTGTGTTTAAAGTATGAACGAAGAGGCTCTGATTTAAGGCTGATGAGAGAGAGTATCCTACAAGTAGAAGTCAGTGTCAGTGCATAGCCTTTATATTATCTATTTTGAGTTCTCCCTCCTCCAAAATGGAGATTTAAAAGGAAACAGAACTCTGTGAATTTCCCATGTAACAGAAGCAATTTTGTTGGATTATCTTTTCTTCCCCCACCGCAGAGTTTCCTTTGAGAAGAAAAATAAAAGACTTCCTAAACAGGCTCTTGAGGAATTCACCTGTGGCCACTGTCCTAGTTGCTACCGACCACGAAAGATTTTAACCAGAAATAGAGTTAAGAGCAGGCTGTCTGCTTGCCTGGAAGGTCCAGAGTTTGGTTTCTGGGCCTCTTTCACGGCCACCACTCCTAACTGCATTGAGACTCTCAGCAGGCACTGGCTGTAGCATTTCACTTCTCTTGAGAAGAGGGGCCAAAACAGGTCCTAAGTGTGGAGGGACTGAGGTTGGAGATGTGTCCTCTTCTCCAGATGTGCATGCTGGCCTTGGCTGATACTACCCAGGAACCTGCATTTGTTTTATGCGTTTGATCCACTTTTGCTACAGTGACTGACATTAATGCAGGTTTGGTGCACCCCAGGTCCATCTCTCTGGTGCTCATCCTGCCTTCCCTTTCCTTCTGAAACCATTCAGAAGAGCGTCTGTGAGCCGGTGTGGGAAGCTTGTTGCCCAAATGCTCCATTGGAAGAATGTGGGGGAGCCAGATGTGAGATGGACCTCCTCTGAGTGAAGGCTCCTCGGAGTCACAGCACAGATTGGAGAGGAATGGCTTTCTAATTGAACTTGGGGTCTGTAACATCGGGCTATCCCACATCCAAGTCAAGATGCCTGTCCACATCAGATGTAAAAACTGGCCCGTTATCATCTCCGATTTTCTCTGAGCATCTTTGAAGAAGAAAGAGTCTTTGGGTGGGAGGGGGAGTGGGGGCTAATTGATCCCAGGCCTGAGAATTGGACGGGGATTTCTATGGCTACTTCAGAAGAAAACTTCCAATATTTTAAACCCAGGTATCACATAATGTTTCAACTTGGGCACACACATGTGGGACATCCTAACAAAAGCTAGAAGGCATGTTCTCTGACCTTAACAGTGCAGAATGAGTTTTCCATGACAGCAGGAGCAGTGCAGCAAGAGTTAATGCTACAAAATCCACAGTATTGGCAATCGTAAATAAATCCAGGGGAGCTTGTTCAGATAGTACTCAGGCAACACTACAGAGCCTATTATGAAACCATCCAAGAACCGAGACACATAAAAACTTTATTAGTCATCACTGAAATAAAGTGCAAACAGGTTTGTTTTGAAAGATCCCAAAATCTTAATGCTTTTGGTCTGCAGAGTCATAAAAATAGTGCCTGACAAATTTTAAGCGATATTCTAATTAATTGTTGGATTTTTATAGTTTCTTCTAAGTTGGATATTAACAAGGCAGGGTAAGAGGAGAGCCCCTGTGCTGGGCCTGAGTTCTAAGTCCTTTGCACAAACCCACTGGCCAGCCAGGCCAGACTTTTGCATCTGCTAGAAGCGGAATGGATCATTAATCTGAAGATTATTGTTATTTTCACACTGATTAGAGTAGAATGTGAAGTGTACGCAAAGTTCACAAATGGATGGAAAATTATTCCAGTTGTTTCTCTGCCATGTGTAGGAAGCACTTTCTGGGGCATTTTTACATTGTTTCTTTGGTGAAACTAACACTTGGTAATTCACCAATAACACGACCCCCTTTAATACCATCACACACTCAGTAATTACCATAAAAATGTACGACCCAACACTTTTATATACACACATTTCTGATTTACAGTCTTCAATTGGACACAGTGATAGTGTAGACAATGTGGGACAACTTTTTTCCTAAAGGGGGATTTTGTTAAAAGGTAAAAAGATTTTTTACATGCCCATCATTAGGAACAAACAGCCCCAACAATGAGAGGGGATTTGCTTTCAAAAAATGAATTAGTTTTTTTTAAAAAAGTGACTATAAAATTATTACTTCAGTTCTTGTTTTTTAAAAAATTACAAAAATCTCTTCAATCAATACATTTACCTACCTCATAATACAAGGGAGCATTACCACTTAGAGGTTTCTTTGCCTTTTTAGATGTACTTCCAAAAATTGCACTTGATCCATTGACCTGTAAGAAAATTCATTTATAAGGAAAAAGAACGGCTTACTTAAGGAATACTTAGACAGATGTAACTTTCAAGTACCTAGGTGACTTGAGGGATTGGGGAAGAGATAGTCATCAGTTAGTTCAAATATTTATAGCCACTTTGGTAAGCCATTAATAATTGTATGAGGGTGTGCCTTCTGACAGAAGTTCTCTGTGTTATTGTTCTCCTCCAACCTCTGACAGCTAGGACGCTTTGGAGACTTCGTTTTCCCAGTTAGTTATGGCCTTCCTTGGAACATTAAATAGTTTTGTCTTTTATTGCTATTGAGACCTTTATTAAGTAATTCCTCACAAAACCTAGCATGGAGCCTAGTATGACCTCAGACATTTTTGTTGAATGAATGGATATCGAAAGGGCAGCATTCATGAACAAAAAACAACCCCTTCCAGATTAGATCTTTCCGAATTTATTCTAGCTAAGTATTCCAGCAAAGTCCTGCACCCAAACTTACCAAACAGCCCAAGAATGTGTTAGTTTTATTGACTTCATTACTTTATTATTTTAAGAGAGAGTCTCCAGCGGGCGTGGGGTGAGAAGGGACAGGTACCTGGTGGACGATGTCTTGCCAGGAGACCGCACTGAAGAGTCTGCGCTGACGGACTTGGACAGCGAGGGTGAGAGCGCGAATGAGAACCTCGTCCTCGAGCCGGTTTCCAACGACAAAAGCGATGGAGCCCTTCCAGTCGTTCTGTGACAAAATCAGAAGGAATCAGGTTCTAAGTGCTCCTGGCGAGGTGATTTTGTGTCAGAGGCTTCCATTGACAAACAGGGTGACTGTCCTAGAAACCTTAAAGACAGGCGGGCCTTATGGTGTATGTGGGTTTTTTATTCAAGCAGCCGCAAGGCGGCAGTATTGTGCCAAATTTCATGCAACTTGCCCAAAAAATTTCCCGGAGAAAGGAGGCCTTTAATTTAAGGAAGACAATTTTTAATTTTTTAAATGCCACACTTTCACTAGAATGCTGTGCAACAATACTTTGGTACTGGAAAGCAATAGTTCATCTGTATGTTACAAATGTACATGAATGTACAATTTCCAACGCAGGAATCTTTGTTTTGTTCCCTGATACATGCATGCTAAGGCTCTAAATACTGCTAGGAAAGTAGGAGGAGCTTAATAAATATTTGTTGATTGTTGGGTAATATTGAATGAGTTGCCAAATAGGTTTTACATGAGGTAAAATTTAATCCCAGAGTTTTTGTAAAGCACAGAACTAGAACACATATTCTCCTCCTAATGTAAACACAACACCCTCATTGCCAATTCACATGCGAGTTCTTTTCACTGTCAAGAAATAGGCTGCAGTTTTAAACTTGAACATGAAATGTTTCGTCAAATAAAAAATAAGTTACTAAAAAACAATATATTTATTCAGTAACCCCTTTCTCTCTATTATAATTTTGTTGGGAAGAAGCAATTCTCTGGAGGAAATGAGGAATGGAATTGACTGACTTTCCCATGATGTGGTGCTAAGGAAAGCCAAACTCATGCAAATTAGGTCTATTGCTTTTGAACACTCACTACCTTGGGGAGATGGACCAAGCAAACATGATACATTCATCAGGAAAGGGAGATAATAATAAGGGAGGCCACCCTGGCCCTGCGACCTCTTTAGATCTTAGTTTCTCCATTTATAAAATAAAGGGGTTGGACAGAGGCATATGTAAGATTTCCTCTAGCTCCATTCCAGAGATCTGATAAAAATAGAGTAAAATTCACCCTTGGTCAATTCCAGAATAATGTCTAAGATCTGGAAAGATTTCACAGAACTTTAATGAAATACATAATTTTCCACGGTTCTTTGGGTTTCTGTTCAATTCATGTGTCAAGGTAATGATAGAACTAGAGTATAGATGGGAGAAAAGACAAATTCTTCTTTACCATCAGAGTGACTAACATTAAATGTCTCTTCCTTCTCTGCATGGAAACTCACTAACCCTAACCACATAACAAAACCCACACAATTTTCAGTGTTGTCACCGACACAAATAACACACATAAAAGCATAAAAATGTCTGTTTAATCTCCAAAGTGTGTATTTGTGTTTGTGTACATGTGCAAGCATGCATGTAGGTGTGGCTCTGAGTTTCCTTCTGTTAGACTGGATTTAAAATCTCTTTTTTTGTTTGTTGACTAATTCACCATAGGAAGACTGAGCATCTGTTTTTCAAATAGCCTGACTCTGAAAAGCAAGTGTGATATTTATAACTGGAAAAAAATTCCATAATCACCAAATGACCTTTCTCCACATTGGATGCCTTTTCTTTCCTCTTGTCTGCTCCCTCAGTCAAAACTGCAATTACAATCATCATTAAAGAAGAAAAATCTTTCCTTCCTTAGTCAAGTAGGTGCAGTTCCTGAACAGGCAATACTTTGATGTTCCTATTAGTTACAGTTTCTACACTGAAGATTTTAATGGCTACATCTACCCGCTTATCCCACACTCTCTTACAGATTTCCTAGCCAATATTCAAAAGCTAATGGTGACGAGAACTGGCTGCGTCTCAGCTCTTTGGGGACAATTCACAAAGAGGGCATCGTAATCCACCATCTACCCATTAGTGTCTGGTATTCGAGACAGGTGTTGACTATTTCAAATCAGAAAAAAAAGAAAAGAAGGTGAGGGAAAGAGGAGGAGGTAGGAGTAACAATTATTGAAATCTGCCATGTGTCAGGCATATGTTATCTCATTGAATCCTTAAGTAATCCCTTTAAATAGGGGCACTAATACTTTATAGATGGAAAAACAGAGGCCCAACGAAGTTAAACAGCTTGTTTCAAGGTCATTTTGGCAGAACTTCATGAAGACCACATACATGGCTCACAATTTTGTGATTATTTCAGAACAGTTTTGAGAGCAAGCCTTTAGGTTCAGAGAGCCTTTCCATAATCCTTAAATTGCACCTAATGGCTATTTTGGCCACAGTATACCTAATAGAGGAAGATTTATATCACATGTTAAAGTATATAGAGGTTTCAAAATAGATGATGTATTAAAACTTTAAAATGTCTAAGATTACTTTTTTTTTTTTTTTATCAAAGACTGTTTTATAAAGGCTAAAAGAGTTTGAGGAAATTTCCCGAGCTTGTCTCTCTCTCAAAGCCCTTTGTTCTTGTTGCTCTGCACTGTAGGAGTGCATCTTGATACAAAATCTTTTCCTCTGATTATTGGCGAGGTACTGAAATTCCTGGGGTCCCAGCGATCACCCTGAGACAGATCGCCTGCACTAGAGCAGGTGATTTGTTCGTGTTCAGAACTCTCTACAAGGTCCATTGGGAGCTAGGCCATGTGTCTCCATTGGAAGGGGTCTCAAGAGTCCAGCTGAGGTCTACTTTCTGCACTCTCCAGCCCACCAAACACCTACTCTAAAAGTTGGGTCTATTTGGCAAAATAGGACCAACCAAGGACTTTGTTGGAATCAAGGATTAGTGTCTAATTACATCGTCAGAACCCAGGGAAGCATGAAATGGACTGATCAGACAGGAAAAACACAAAGATTGCCTGCCCAGAAGGATGCACTCACTGGCATGCTGCACTAGGGGGCACCGAGATGCCAGGAAACACACAACACTCTCATCACAGAGAGCAATCATTTCCAACTGTGTCTAATTAGGGAGACTCGTTAACTAAGTGGTGCTCTGCAAATATAAGTTTTGAACTTTTTTCTTAGTATTTCAGGATAATGGTAGATTTCAAATCTCTCCTATCTGGCTGTAGTATCAAAAATAGGAAATTAAATTGGAAAAAAAAATCAACCCAATCTAAATTTGGCAAAATACTGTTAAAATACACCCTTCCACCGGTATCCCATCCTAACACGCAACTAAACACAGCCCTTAAATTTGAGTTCACAGGGCAGCAAGCAAAGTGAGCACAGAGAAAACGAGTGTTGACCAGAGAGGACAAATGAAAGCACAACACACGGAACCTGATTCATCACACTCCTGGGTCCTGCAGGGCTCCTAGCTGTGTGTGAATTTGATTAAGACAGTTCAAGAAGCTTGGGTGTAATTAGCTGCATGAGCCTAGAGAAAGAAACCATTAATCATCTTCGGAAAACTACACTAGATGTATCCAACAGTGAGGGAAGAGGGTTTCAGTCTGGCACATCTCAAACACCTTAGGAAATAAAAGCAGCTTTCTATTGCCGGCAGACATCTACTGAACATGCTTATTGCCAAGTCTTGCCCTCGAGTAGTTATTGATAAAGTCATTCCCAGGATGGAATGAAGTCATGAATGGACACAATCCATTACCTTTTATTTACTTTACCAGCCTCACCTAATTTGAAGCCTGGCAGGAGGGTGCCCTAACCCAAACACATACCTGACTCCTACGGCAAGAAAGTACTCATGTAAATGCAGAGAATCTGGCTGCTCACATAAACCCACTGTCCCAGAGACACACGGTAGATTCATAACAATTTTTCTTTCATACATTGAAAATTCTCCAACTTTTACTTAGGCATTCCAATATTCTAACATAATTACCAAAACCCTTTCAAATGTCAGTGAAAAGTAGTATAATGTAGGGAACTTAATTCAATATGCTGTGATGAACCATAATGGCAATGAATATGTAGAAAGAGTATATATATATACATATATATAATATATATATACATATATGTAAAACTGAATCACTTTGCTATATAGGAGAAAGTACCACAACATTATAAATCAAATATATGTCAATAAAATAAATTGAAAAAAATAAGTGAAATGTAGCTTTTCCTTGATGAGAGTGAGATTTCTGCTTTCTGTTAGCACAGTTGATTTGCTGATACGGGGAATGACAAGGGCAGATAGGCACGTGCTCTCTTCTGCTTCCTTTGCTAGCATGTCAGGGGATCTGTTGCCCTGAACGATCGGAGTGAGATTCCCACAGTCCTCTACCCAGACCTGATTGGAACCTGTGGAGCTCTATGAGGCAAAAAGCCCTATAAAGCCCCAAATAAAATCAATGCAACATTAAAAAAGTCAGGTTTTTGTTGAGAGTTATTTAACACTGTGCAGGTATGCAAACCTGTACTTTATGTCAATACTCTGCTGAAAGGATAACCTTTTTGTTAAGTAGATTTACTGCCTAATGGACAGGGATTTGTGAATGTCTTTCTCATACAGGGTTTTTCCTTCAAAAGGAGTCTTGGATCTCCATCAGCAAAGGAGTGTTAGTATGGGCTGTTGGCCAGAAGAAGAAATATTTTTATTACATTGAACTGGCTGCTATAATCGTATTTGTTAAAAGGGGATCCTAACTGTAAAATGAGTTGGAAATATCAGTTAAAAATTGTTATGTAACAAAAAATAATAATACAAAGGACCAGGATGCAGTTTGATTAAATAAGTTCGCTTCCCTGGTGGCTCAGATGGTAAGGAATCCGCCTGCAATGCAGGAGACCTGGGTTTCATCCCCGGGTTGGGAAGATCCCCTGGAGGAGGGCATGGAAACCCACTCCAGTATTCTTGCCTGGAGAATCCCCACGGACAGAGGAGCCCTGTGGGCTACAGTCCACGGAGTCTCAAAGAGTTGGACACAATTGAGCGACTAAGCACAGCACAACATGCAGATGCTTCTTTAATGATAGGTTTCTCACAATTTACTATAAAGGCTACAGTTTGGCATATCATCACCATGCTGTTATAAGCGTTCCTTATTTAGGAATTATTTCACAGGACTGTCGCAT